AAGACAACTACCCCTCCCTCCACTCCCCACTAACACCCCCCAACCTGACCCTTCAATACAACTGGCACCAAGTTAGAAGGCCTAGACTATGGGATATTGAAATAGAGCTTTTTAGCATGAACCTATTCCAGATGGATTGTTTTGGGGGGCTCAAATTCTTAGGGGGATAGACAGTTAAAAGAGTGATATTTTGGTGGATGTTAGTAAAAAAAAAAATAAGAATGGCTGCAATAATGATTTCATTCGGTTTTTTGTTTGTTTGTTTGTTTGTTTGTGTAAGATTTATTTATGCTTACAGAACTGAGGTACAACCAGAGGTGTGATGGGTGAGAACATTCACCAAACACAGAGTGGGGAGCAAAGCAGGCAGATCTACTGAAATACAGTGCTGAGGGGAGCAGCGAATGGGTCAGGAGAGGTCTGCTGCGCCATGTGGGTCAGCTCTCGGGGCGAGGATTGAACTCATGCTATAGTGGCTTCGGAGATCTTCATAATGAGGTGTTTTAACCTGTTGTGCCACCAGGGAGGGCCTGATTTCATTAGGTTTTAATGGAAATTAAGATGTCATTAATGACAGGTATTTAAATAAGGAGCTGGGAGCTGGTTTGAGGCAGAGAATCTAGTACAAATAAAAACTAGTGAGGATTACATAAGAAAAACTAGAGAGGCAGTTTGCTCTTTCTGTTCACTTAAATGTGGTGTGGAGTAATACCTATATGTGAAACATTAATTCATAATAGTAAGTTCAAAAACAATTTTGTTCAAACGTAGGAAGTATCACAGTTCTCTAGTTTTGTCTCTTTCCTCCACTGTCCACGGGGCAGGGACTCAGCTACATGCACTGACGTCTCCTCAATGCCTGGAGTCATGTTGTCATGTGGGAATTGACTGTATGACATGATGGAAGCAGTGAGCAAGTATGTTTTGGGCAGGGGGTGCAGCAAGTGTTGTGGTTGTTGAGTCAAGGTTGGGACCCCAGGGAAGAGAGCTTTCTGCCTAGATTTCCTGGAGAAGACAAGATTTTAGTAAAAGTGAGTTTGAGAGGCCCTCCCTGGTGGCACAACGGGTTAGGACGTAGCACTGCATGCTGGCCGCAGCCACTTCAGTGCAGGTTCAATCCCCAATCCGGGAGGTGACCCACATGGCGCGGCAGACCTCTCCTGACCCACCCGTGGCTCCCCTCATTAGTGTACTTCATTGATCTGCCTGTTCTGCTCCACACTCTGTCTCTGGTGAGTCATCTCATCACCCCTGCACCTCTGGCCTGTACCCCAGTTCTGTATGCATAAATTAAAAAATATTTTTTTTTAAATGTGTTCATGTATTAAAAAAAAAATTAGTTTGATGGGTGGAGTTTGGGTTGGCAGAGAGAAGATGTGAGCCCATTCCTGGTCGGTGGGTTGGCATGAACAAATGTGAAAATTAGACATTATTCCATTCCATAATGAGAGAACTGTTGAAAGCAGTCGAGCAGGTGATTTCTTGAGGGGCAGAGCTAATTAAGTCAGACACTCCTAGCCAGGGCATGTGAGGAGCTCCCAGCCTGCAGCATTTATCCTGGGGGAAGAAGAGGTTTTGAGCCAAGGAGGAGCCTGCCCAAGGCAGCGATTGTAGGGACTAGCTAGTGGTGGGGAGGAGGACCAGGAGGCTGTGAAACCTCTGGAAGAACACAAGAAACAGGATCCAGGGTGATGAAAATGCAGAGAGAGAGATTTAGATGAAGTTTCAGAGAAGGACTCAGTGGCTGTTTTCTGGATATTGTGGAAGAGAGGTTTTACTCACTGAAAGAAGTCCAGCCTGAGACACTGAAAAGAAGTAATATAATTTAGGGGAACCAAGAAGGCCGTATCAGTGTGTGAGGCATTTTTGGCCAAATGTGTTGATAGCAGCATCGCAACATGCCTACTATGTTCCCGCTAAAGTGAGGATGACAAATCAGGTTCACCATTTTCCGGAAGTGAAGGGCAGGAAGTGTGTAAATGGAAGTGTGCAGAGAGCCGTCGGCTACATTGGGTTATTACCTGTGTTCCCAGGTTCAAATGTAGACTCCAGAAGTCCTTTTGCAGTAGGTATATTTTGAATACCCTGCCATGCAGCTAGCCAGGAAATTGGGGTGAACAGAGAGCAGAAGTGACAGCTTCCCTGCCCTAGGGGTGCTTACGACATTATGAAGGAGACGGGCAGATGCAGAAGGTTGTGGCTGGGAAAATATATCGTAGGATTTGGACCCACTTAATATGTTGGTGAAACTTTGACCGGGAAGTGTTATTATGCAGAAAATTAAAAATAAAGACCCCCGGCCTCTTCCCTCTGACCAACTGAAAGAAATCATGTGCGACACTTCTTACTGACACCAGACTTCTTCACCTCCTCTACTCCCCTCCCCTACCCCAAAACACAACAGTCATACTCCTGTATTTTGCTCTGAAGGATTCCTTTATTGGTTTTGTTGTTGCATCATCCCCTCAAAACCCCACCATTTGTCAAATGTTCTGTAATTTAAGTGGATTCTTGTTATCTCACTCCATGGACTCCATGTTCCTCAGCGATGATGACCAGTCACTGGGCTTGTTCCTCAGCGATGATGACCAGTCACTGGGCCCTGGAGGGAGGAAAGATGGATAAGAGACTAGAACAGGTTGAGACATAGTGCCTAAAAGAAGTTGTCTGCCTCTTTCACTTAAAAATAGTGTTGCTGTTTTTCAGATTTTCTCAATCCCTTTTCTGCCCCACTGCAGGGATGAACTCTTCCGCCAAAGTTTGGCAAAATTGCGTGAGCAGCTAGTTAAAGCGAATACCTTGGTACGGGAGGCGAACTTCTTAGCTGAGGAGATGAGCAAACTCACTGACTACCAGGTGACCCTGCAGATCCCCGCTGCGAACCTCAGTGCCAATAGAAAGGTAAGGATATTCTTGACAAAGAAGAGAGCTACTTATAAGTAGCAGGTACCATAAATGGAATATAAGCCTGGCGTGCAAACCAAACTCCATGAAGAGATCCTGGGATGAGCCAGAATAGTTATTATTACCTTTAAATTGTATTTATTTTTGCATAGAAGAACTGGGGTATAGATCAGAGGTGGGGAGTTGAGAGGATTCACCAGAGACAGAGTGGGGAGCAAAATAGGCAGATGTACTTACTTCAGTAGGGCAAGCAGTAGGAGAGACAGAAGAGGTCTGCTGCACCATGTAGTTCAGCTCCCTGGCCAGGGATCGAACTCAAGCCATGAGATGGTAGCGCCAAGACTTAACCCCTGAGCCACCAGGAAGTCCACAGAGTATTCTTAAGACTTCCCCTGAGGCCGCCTCAGATAAGGATGCTGGCAGTATGGTGTCCTAGGTGTGTCATAATCACAATGTGAAAATTTGGGTAGCTGAAGGGTTTGCTCATTTAATAACATTTAGTTTCACTGTATGTGAAATATATATACACACACACACATACACATGTGTATATATTTACATAATCTTGTTTGCTTTTCTCTTATAAATGCCTCCTTCTGAAATGAGGGATAGTGTATATTTTCCTAGAGTACCATTTTAAGATGGAATTAAACAAGAAAGGAGAGCTTTTTGTGTCTCTTTCTGTGTCTTTACATACACAGAATGACTCTTAGCAATCATTTAGAAGCTCCCCATCAAATATGAAGAATCTTTCCTTCAGGGAGAATCCTTGAAAAAAGTAGTTTTCTGTCCATTGGTTTTTCTTCCCAGTAAGCAAGCTAGAAATGAGACAGGAAATAGTTCAGCAGGTTTGTTGGGCTTTAGTCTTTTGACCAAGCCGTCTTCCTTTGAGAAATTTATTCTAAGTCCATATTCATGGGAGTGTCCATAAAAGTTGATGTTTTTTACTAATAAGAATGCTTATCAGAGTGGGCTTACGAAAATTTCAAAAAGCCATGATGTACACACTCCCTGGTGGTACAGCTGGTTAAAGCACAACACTACAAGGTTAGGTTAGCTGCTTCAGCACAAGTTCGATTCCGGCCAGGGAGCTGACCCACATGGCACAGCAGACATCTCCTGTCCTGCCCGCTGCTCCCCTCAGCAGTGTACTTCGTCGCTCTGCCTGTTCTGCTCCCGCTGTCTCTGGTGAATCTCTCACAGCCCCTGCATCTGTGGCCTATACTATAAGTTCTGTTTGCATAAATAAATAAATCTCTAAAAAAAAACAAAAGCCATAATGTTGAAGAAGTGAATAAATTAATCAAGTGAGTGGGGGGTGAGTGGTATATCCACATAATTGTTATTTGCCCATTAGAAATCACATTTATGAAAAATATTTAAACACACAGGTGACAATCACAATATCAAAGCTGTAGAGAGAGAATTGAGATAGGGGATTGCTCATTTTTTTTTCAGTTCTGGTTATGAAAAATAACCAGTATGTGTGTGAGTATATACAGAAGGTGGAAAAATAAAATATTCCCTTGGTGTACTTTATATGCTTATTTTCAAAGGTACTACATTACCATAATATTTATTCCTTTAACAATCCAAAAACTGTCAACAAGGGTTGTCTTGTCTATGTTCTTGATCACGCAGAGAGGTGCGATCGTGAGCGAGCCAGCTATTCAGGTGAGAAGGAAAGGAAAGAGCACCCAGGTGTGGGCCATCGAGAAGCTGGAGAATAAGTTAATTGATATGAGGGATCTTTATCAAGAATGGAAGGAAAAAGTTCCTGAGGTAAGAGACAAAGCATAAAGGAGATTTGAAAGTGTCAAAAGCAGAGAGTATAAGTGATTGAACCGCCAGAACACATACCCACGACAATGAGTTTTTCTAAATGGTATTTTAGGCATTTTGTTAGAAAAATAAACATTATCTTGATAAAAGCTGTGTTGTATCCATCATATGACTGGTCCCCTCCTCCCTGCCATCCCCCCCCCCCATGGAAACTAATTGAAAATAACAGTATATATTTTTGCAGTTTTACTACATTTGCAGCGAAGCGTAGTAGAACAAAGCAAAGTTATGCTATTTTGTCAGTGTTGTGAAAAACCAACTAGAATGGAGCAGGCCAGCATCTAGTCTTCATTAGCATCTGTGAGCAGTGATGGCGTCTGAGTGTATTGCTACAAATAACTTTAGAAAGCTAATTAAATGAAACATAACAAAGTAGATGGTTGCATTGGGGTAGTAACTAAAGTCTGTTTTCCACAAGTACATCACTTATTTCCCCAGAAAAAAGCCTCTCCCATGTGCTAATTTTATTCTGTTTTTGTGATACAATTCTAACTTCTTTTAAGTTTGGATACATGCTTTTTAAAAAAATTATTTTTGAATGCTGATTTTAAATAATACTTACACTTATGTTTATTTTCTACTTGTCTGTCTACCTGCTACTCAGGCAAAGAGGCTCTATGGGAAGCGAGGGGATCCTTTCTATGAAGCCCAGGAGAATCACAACCTAATCGGTGTGGCTAATGTGTTCTTGGAGTGCCTCTTCTGTGATGTGAAGCTGCAGTATGCAGTTCCCATCATCAGCCAGCAGGGGGAGGTAAGGATAAGCCAGGCTTGAGAAAAATGACAGAGCTTTAAATCTTGGTTTTCTTAAATTCCATCTCTGTTCTTCAGGAGGATTAAAGAACTAGGGTGATTAGTCAGGGTCCATATTCATTTTTCTTTATTAATATCAACAGAAACTCAGAATTAAGTCAGACTTTTAAAAGATAACTTTTTTATATTGTGGGGGTATTTTTGTTTTCATGAAATTAGAAATCTTTTGGAAACCAGATTCTACTTCGTGTTTCATATTCATTTTTTTCTTAATCTGTTCATGTTTTGATACACTGTACTTCCTTTCTGGCTCCTATGTAGCCTTTACAAGATGCAGCTGAGGGACGGATTATTTCAAAATCCAAAGTACTCAAAAAAAAAAAAAAAAAAGCTTCACGTCCCCACTCCTGACCCTCTTTGAATTCTCATATTACCATCACTGAGATATATTGGCTTTATATCTAAGACATTGCAAAAACTGTTCAAATTCAGTGCTTTTTTACTTTAGCATTTCAGCAAGTAATGTTTCGATTTTAAATTTAGTGAACAATGGATTGTCCTTCAAAAATGTGCAAACTTGAATTACTGAGTTACTTTTTGCAATTCCTAGAGCAGGCTAATAGATGTCATCCCAAAGTAAATTTAGAAAGCCGGCCTTGTGTCCCACATAGTGGTGTGTGAGTGCATAGATGCTAAGTGTGGCAGCTGTATGCACCGGATATGCTAGAAGACCAAAAGTTCTGGTTGCTACTTTCATTGTTAAAAACAGGCACAGCTTGGGCCCTCCCTGGTGGCGCAGCGGGTTAAAGCACAGCACTGAGAATCTAAAGCCGCTTCCGCATGAGTTCGATTCCCGCCTGCCCCGGAGGAGACCACATGGCGCGGCAGACCTCTCCTGACCCGCCCGCTGCTCCCCTCAGCAGTGTACTTCGTCGATCTGCCTGTTCTGCTTCCCACTCTGTCTCTGGTGAATCCTCTCACCGCCCCTGAGCCTCTGGCCTGTACCCTAGTTCTGTATGCATAAATAAATAAATCTTTAAAAAAAAAAAAAAAACAGGCACAGCTTGTATTAGAAAGGAGTCTGGTGGCTGAGTCCCTAGTCAGTGCTTTTATTTTTAAGATTTATTTATTTATGCATACAGAACTGGGGTACAGGCCAAAGGTGTGGAAGGGTGAGAGGCTTCACCAGAGACAGAGTGGGGAGCAAAACAGGCAGATCTATGAAGTACACTGCTGAGGGGAGCAGTGGCGGGTCAGAGAGGTCTGCTGCACCATGTGGGTCACCTCTGGGGCTGGAGATCAAACTCACACTGAAGGGAACTGCAGCTCACTTGCAGTGCTGCGTCATAACCTGTCGCGCCACCAGGGAGGGCCCTCGGTGCTTCTTAAGCTAAGGTCTGTGATGGGCTTTGCGTGTTCATGAATCCGTCTCAAAATGCTAGCAAAATCTATTAGCATCTTAAAAAGCATGAATAAAAGACTTCCCCACTGTCTCCTGATTTCTCTCTTCCCGCCCCTTCATCCGTCATTTTTGTCTCAATTGCCAAAATGACATCTTTCCTTCCTGCCAGTGCCACTTGCCAGATTGGGGTTGATCTGTGCTGGTTTAAAGTGGGTCTCATTTTATGGGGATGGAAGGGGGAATGGGATCAGAACTGGGGTGGGAAGAGCACATTGGACTATGGTGATGGCACGTGAAAATATATATATGTGTGTGTGTGTGTATAATAAAAATGACAAAATTTCAAAAAAAAAAGGAAAGAAAATAGGTCTCAAGCCCTCCCTGGTGGTGCAGTGGGTTAGGACACAGCTCTGAAAGCTGGCTGCAGCCCCTTCAGTGCCAGTTCCATCCCCAGCCCAGGAGCTGACCCACATGGCGTGGCAGACCGCTCCTGACCCGCCCGCTGCTCCCCTCAGCAGTGTACTTCGTCCATCTGCCTGTTCTGCTCCCCACCCTGACTCTGGTGAATCCTCTCACCACCCCTGCACTTCTGGCCTGTACCCCAGTTCTGTACGCATAAATAAATCTTAAAAAAAAAAAATTTAAATAAAAATTAAATAAAAAAAAAGTGGGTCTCGCTGTGGAGCAGCCCAGCAGTGCAGCTGCCAGTGTGTCCGTAGCGCCCCATTAACCGCCTGTTTGTCGCCCAGGTGGCGGGGCGCCTGCACGTGGAGGTGGCGCGTGTGACGGGCGCCGTGCCGGAGCGCGTGCTGGAGGACGACTCGTCGGAGAACTCTAGCGAAAGCGGCAGCCTAGAGGTGGTGGACGGCAGCGGCGAGATCGTCCACCGTGTCAAGAAACTGACCTGCCGGGTGAGTAGGCGGCACTGTGGGTTTGCGGCTCCCGCCTCCACCCCTGAAGGGTGGCTGCGAGTTTTCCATGCAGCAGATAGAAGCTAAAGTCGGTGGCAGGACAGCGGCCGGCCAGCCTTGTTTTCCAGAAATCAGCTCACTGGTGGTTAACAGTTGCTGAATTTTCAGAAGCAGTGGGCAGGCAAGAGTGTGTGTTGCTTAGTGAATTCTACTCTTCTAGGAAAGGAAAAAGACAAAAGTAGCAGGCAGATCATAGGTCTGAGGCAGACAGCAGGGGAGGGGTGGGGGGAGGGGTCAGAATGGGAGGGAAGGGCTTAAAGGACCGTGGTGATGGGCGAGGGGTACCTTGGTGGTGGGAGAATAAGGGGGGCTCCACCTGAGGGGAGAAGTCAAGTATGGTACAAAAATGAACAAAATAAAAGTGTAAGAAAATAAAAGAAATAGGGGCCCTTCCTGGTGGCGCAACAAGTT